TGAGACACCGTTTACCTAATAATGTATCAGTAATATTTTCCTTCATATTACCAAACATCCCTATGAGGTAATTTCCTCTGTTGCGAATACTAAACACGTCTCCCCTTTTACACATTCCAGCTCCGACACTGAATGAATCACTGCTTCCAGCTACATATCTGCCTTATAATCTAATGTTTGCTTCCCCCCCCCACCCCCATTTATTTATACTTTTTTTTCTTGTGCTCTGAAGTCTTAATGTGCACAAAAATGAGACACCGTTTACCTAATAATGTATCAGTAATATTTTCCTTCATATTACCAAACGTTATCCAGAAAGATGCTATTTTAGTGAAGTACAGTCCTAATGTTTTATAGGTTGTGCTAAGGAGAGAAAACACCCAGTCTGAATTTAAAAGGCCCCTGTGCTGACTGACCTGCTCTACCACAAACACGGTTCTGCTCTGCACACTGTCTCTGGCATTGGATCCAACCACACAAACACACACACACACTTGCATTTGTGGTTTATGGGAACACTCCATGGACGTAATGGCTGTTATACTGTACTGTGCGATAGAAAATAGTTTATTTTCTATCGCCCTATACCAACCCTATACCTAAACCTACCCCTTACAGAAAACTACTGGCAATTTTTGAATTTCATAAAACACAGTTTTGTATGTTTTTTAAGCCTTTTGTTTTATGGGGACACAGGAAGTGTCCTCATAAACCATGTTTACGTTGTAGTACCCATGTCATTATACACATTTGTGTCATCATAAACCATATTACACACACACACACACACACACACACACTGATTATGTGTGTTAGACCTTTTGCTGGGGAGAAAGAGGAACTTGCTCTTGCTGTCTTGACTTTTTTAACTTGAAGCTATTTATATGTCTATTTTAATCATGTGAGGGTAGAAGTTGTATATAAGATATAGGCTATTGGATGGATGGATAGAAAGATGGATGGAAAAAAGCAAGGTCGCTATATATATATATTTAGACATATAGAGAGAGAGATGGGTGGGAGGATGGAAAAAAGAAAAAAAAGAATGGATGATAGCCACGAGGAAGGATAGATATAAAAAGGGAAGGATGAAAGAAAGGGAAAAAAGATTGTCGAGTGCAAAGAAAGAATGGATTGATGATTGAAAAGAGGATTTATGGACGATGAATAGGAAATGAGAAAGATGACTGAAAGAAAGGAAAAGAGAAAGAAGGGTGGATGGAAAAAAGAAAGATGGATGGATGGATGATGATAAATAGGGAAGGATGGATATGAAAAGATGGATGGATGAGTGGAAAGAAGGAAGAATAAAAGGATAGGTGGAAAGAAGGACATATTGATGGATGAATAGGAAAAAGATGGATGAATGTAAGAGAAAAAAGGTTAGAATGACGGGTGGATAGATAGATAGATAGATAGATGGGAAAAGGGTGGATATTGTAAGCATGATGGATGTATAAAAAAGGTGAATGGATGGGAAGAAATAATAAAGAATAGGAAAAACAAAACGAGGGATGAATAAATATATGATGGATGGAAGGAAAGAAAAGAAAGATGAGGATAGAAAAAGAAGAAAAGAAAAGATGAAAAGAAAGATGGATGACAGATGGAAAAAAATTATTGAATGGGAAAAAGGATCAATAGGTTAAAAAGGGATGGATGGATGTATAAATAGATCGATAGATCAGTAAACGGCAATCAAACTTGTCTTTCTCTCTGTAAATAGCTTGTTCTCTGTATGCAAATGTTCAGCTGATACTGATTTGAGTTTATATCATGCTCAGACATGCAGTACAAGGATCACTTACAGTTTTGCATTATTATGAAAATAACGCTACATTTATTTGAGATGCTTTTTTGAGACCCTCTGCTCAGCGTTTGTGTAAAGACCACCATAATTTCTCCCTGATTGTTTACTCACATTTGATCCATGTTTCATGTTATAATGGGCTGGAATCAGATAAGAAAGAATTGTTGAAATGACAAACATGGATTATCAATAGCGTGGAGAGATATTGATGTTTTCTTCCTCTGCAATTTCGAGGCTCATACATGAGACTGAAGAACGGAATGTTGTTACCTGCACAACAATATTGGCTCAAACAGCCTGAAGAAGCCAGCAATCATATATCTTTACCCAACAGCCTCAGCAAAATGTCATTTTCAAAGCCAGATATTGTTTTTGTTCATCACGTACCAGATGTTGAATCAAGTCAATTGTGTCAACTTTGTTTTTATTTATTTATTCGTTTCTGTTTTCTGTGGCTGTCTTTTGGAACCGAGAGGCATTGTAAAATATGAGGTTTATCAAACTTTCAGTGCTCAGCTATTTTGACGAGCTTCGGCAATACATCACTGACAACTCCGAGCGGCCCGGCTGCACCGGCACGAGAGTGACAGCACGGGAGAGGGAGCGATGCATTTTTGAAAGTGATTTATGCAAAGCAAAATAAATGACGCGCCGTGGCCGGTTTGTAAAGTGCAGCCTTTGAATGGAAGTGTAGCGGATTAACAGCTCTGCTACACTCTTTCTTTACTCCTGCCAAGAGAGCTGTGCTGGACATGACCACTCGCCATGAGCTCAACATTTCCACTCCTCATGTGTCCTGTAGTGTCGGCCATTGGCCCTGGAAAGTGTGTTCATAAGTCAGGCTGAGAATGACGATGGGAAACACTGAGCCCTCCCTCGTTTTCATTTTAGAAAATACATTCATTTGAATTGTCAGTCAGTGAATGCATAAGTAAATAATATATGAGATCATTTTGTTCTGCTGAAATGCAGCAGAATACAGGAGAACGCTGCGCTGGGACATTTAAAGTTTCACCAGGTGTTTTGTTCTCTAGTATTTCCAGACTCAATTATTTATTTGAAATTATCTGTAATTACATTAGCAAACAAAAAACCTTACTATTTTAGCATTATCTATATACAGGTGCATCTCAATAAATTAGAATGTCATGGAAAAGTTCATTTATTTCAGTAATTCAACTCAAATTGTGAAACTCGTGTATTAAATAAATTCAATGCACACTGACTGAAGAAGTTTAAGTCTTTGGTTCTTTTAATTGTGATGATTTTGGCTCACATTTAACAAAAACCCACCAATTCACTATCTCAACAAATTAGAATACTTCATAAGACCAATAAAAAAAACATTTTTAGTGAATTGTTGGCCTTCTGGAAAGTATGTTCGTTTACTGTACATGTACTCAATACTTGGTAGGGGCTCCTTTTGCTTTAATTACTGCCTCAATTCGGCGTGGCATGGAGGTGATCAGTTTGTGGCACTGCTGAGGTGGTATGGAAGCCCAGGTTTCTTTGACAGTGGCCTTCAGCTCATCTACATTTTTTGGTCTCTTGTTTCTCATTTTCCTCTTGACAATACCCCATAGATTCTCTATAGGGTTCAGGTCTGGTGAGTTTGCTGGCCAGTCAAGCACACCAACACCATGGTAATTTAACCAACTTTTGGTGCTTTTGGCAGTGTGAGCAGGTGCCAAATCCTGCTGGAAAATGAAATCAGCATCTACAAAAAGCTGGTCAGCAGAAGGAAGCATGAAGTGCTCCAAAATTTCTTGGTAAACGGGTGCAGTGACGTTGGTTTTCAAAAAACACAATGGACCAACACCAGCAGATGACATTGCACCCCAAATCATCACAGACTGTGGAAACTTAACACTGGACTTCAAGCAACTTGGGCTATGAGCTTCTCCACCCTTCCTCCAGACTCTAGGACCTTGGTTTCCAAATGAAATACAAAACTTGCTCTCATCTGAAAAGAGGACTTTGGACCACTGGGCAACAGTCCAGTTCTTCTTCTCCTTAGCCCAGGTAAGATGCCTCTGATGTTGTCTGTGGTTCAGGAGTGGCTTAACAAGAGGAATACGACAACTGTAGCCAAATTCCTTGATATGTCTGTGTGTGGTGGCTCTTGATGCCTTGACCCCAGCCTCAGTCCATTCCTTGTGAAGTTCACTCAAATTCTTGAATCGATTTTGCTTGACAATCCTCATAAGGCTGCGGTTCTCTCGGTTGGTTGTGCATCTTTTTCTTCCACACTTTTTCCTTCCACTCAACTTTCTGTTAACATGCTTGGATATAGCACTCTGTGAACAGCCAGCTTCTTTGGCAATGAATTTTTGTGGCTTACCCTCCTTGTGAAGGGTGTCAATGATTGTCTTCTGGACAACTGTCTGATCAGCAGTCTTCCCCATGATTGTGTAGCCTAGTGAACCAAACTGAGAGGCCATTTTGAAGGCTCAGGAAACCTTTGCAGGTGTTTTGAGTTGATTAGCTGATTGGCATGTCACCATATTCTCATTTGTTGAGATAGTGAATTGGTGGGTTTTTGTTAAATGTGAGCCAAAATCATCACAATTAAAAGAACCAAAGACTTAAACTACTTCAGTCTGTGTGCATTGAATTTATTTAATACACAAGTTTCACAATTTGAGTTGAATTACTGAAATAAATGAACTTTTCCACGACATTCTAATTTATTGAGATGCACCTGTACTATTGTAGTGTTTAATAATATTTTGTATTAGCTTTTTAGTAGTTTTATGTCTTTCTTCTAAAATGTATGTTTTGTATTTGTATGTACTTTATTTTGCAATAGATGTGTAGTGATTCTGCTTGCATTCCTTATATTGTTGCTTGATTGCAGTACTGTTCTTTTAGCTTCTTTTATTAATTAGTTCTTTTTTTGATGTTGCAAAGATCACAGTTTGTAGACATGTTTTTCTTTCTAAAAATACCCTAATCTATTACATTTGTCTTCGCTTCTTTATTAACAATAGTGACAAAGGAGACATGATCAGGAGACATGATCCACATGATTTAGTTTATTTTATTACGCTATTTTAGTTATAATATAAACAGCCCAAAAAAGCCTACAAAAAGCTGTATATATATATATATATATATATTCATTTTGTGTTAAAGGTGTATTATTGGGTGTGCATGTCTTGATAGAGCTGTGAATCTGTGTTTTGGACAGGTATGGATGAGAGGACAAGCCAAACATCATGGGCCTCAGGTGGCCAGTCCAGCCCGTCCTATGAGTCCTCCAGGGTAAGACCGGTCTTGCCTCGCCTCACCTCACTTGCCACACACACACACACACCAGCTATTGTGATCACACCAGTAAGGTGCATTTCCATTAGTCCAATTCAGAGTTATCTGTCCTCAACCAAATGAAACATTAGCATCTGATTTGCTTACAGGATGCATATTAACATAATATCACTTTTGAGAGATAAGTCTGGTTCCTCCAAAAATCATTTAGAAAGACACTTTGTTTGTAAGCTTGTTGGTAAATGCAACTGATAACTGATAAAAAGAAAAATAAGTGTTTAAATAAAATGTAATCAAATGTGATGATGCTTTATGCAAAGAATTCTGCGGACATACTTTAACTGTTTTTCATTGTATTTTAAGGTGGCTTTTTTTTTTTATTAAAAAGACAATACATGTACTTTACAGTGAGATACTGTTAAGTATAAACACACTAGAATCAGAATAAGAAAGAGCTTTATTTCCAAGTATGTTTGCACATAAAATGATGTAAAAACATGTCCTGCCGCCGCGTGATTTCCCCGTTGATTCTGTGTCGCGGTCTGCTCTAAACAGCTGAAAGCCCGGCAGTTGTAGCGCGCTGTCCGGAATGGCGTCATTCAGCCAGGTTTTCATGAAACAGAGCAGCAGAGTGAGAAAAATCCTTATTTGTCCGGGAGCGCAGAAGAAGTTCGTCCGTTTGTGTCGGGTAGAGAGTGGAGATTCGCCATATGGCTGCTCGGCAACGGTGTTCTGAATCCACGCTTCCTGAGCTTCACGAGCGTGCCGACTCTCTTCCCCCGTCTGTGCATCCTGAAGCGTTTGATCAGTGCAGCAGCTCCGCCGACTACAACGTTCAGCAAAACGTCCGAATAAACGAAATCCGGTAGAAGATTGTGTGGTGTGTTCTGCCGAATGTTCAGCAGCTCATCCCTGGTAAAACTGATCGTGTTTGAGAAACAAAAATCAGGAAAAACTAACAAAAACAGTACAAACACTGGAGAGCCAAACACTGAGGATGCCGTCTGTGGCGCCATCGCATGTATCACCTGGTGGTGATCGCATGATCAAGATTAATGGTTAATGGTTGCTGAAAATTCAGCTTTGCCATCACATTAACGAATTACCATTTTCATTCAAAAGTTTAATTCTTTTTGAAAGAAGTCTTGTATGCTCAATCTGGAATTATTTTATCAAAAATACTGTAAAAATGGTAATTCGTTAATGTGATGGCAAAGCTGAATTTTCAGCAACCATTACTCCACTCTTCATTGATAATCATTCAGAAATCATTTTAATATGCTGATTTTGGTGCTCAAGAAATATTTCTTATTATTATCAATGTTTAAAACAGTTGGGCTGCTTAATATGTTTGTAGAATCAGTAATACATTTTTGATGAATAAAGAACAGCATTTATTTTAAATACATACTAACTTATTTAACTGATTTACAGAATTTTACAGTAGTATATATACAGTGGCAGTTTATATATCTGAAAGTTAATTGAGGGGTGGCCATGTTGAAAGAAATCCCCCCCCCCCTATTTTCTTAGTAACATTCTGAAAAAAGCTTTTCTCTAATTTTTCTTTTTGACCGTTGAGAAGCATTTCGAGCAGCTGTTCCACTCAAAGAACACAGCAAAGAAAATATCTTTGTTTTTTCCTGCACGACAAAAAAAAGTATATGTTTTTTTTTTTTTTTTTCAGTTTGTTAGAAGAGACTGATGAAAGTGCACATACAGCCTACTTGACGTTATGATTATATTAGTGGTATTCATGACAAATAACAAATGGTTGATTTTTTTTCCCCAGGCTCTGTGTGTGTGACTGAACGCATTTTGTGCAGGAAGCATTGATGCATTTCAGAAATACCATAAGCTCAGATTGATTTTCATGCATGCAAATCATATCCACCTCATCAAAATAATAAGAAAAAAAATCAGCCATGGTTGTGATTTTTATTTTGCGCTCAACCTTAGTGCAGATTGTGAAGATCTCTCGCTTCCTATTTGCTTGTTTGTCTTTTCCACAATGGTGAGTTCAGGGTGCCCTGTATGAATTTCATTTCATGTCAATCTCCTGTCACTTCCTATCAGAAATCAGTCAAATGTCAGAGGCTCTCACACCACATTGTCTTGTTTATTTCCGATGCCCTTCCTCTTCGCACTTCTACAGGCGATGGCTTTGCCGGCGGCTTGATTTAAATTATAAGACGGAGACGCATGAGATATCTTTGCTCTAGGTGCATGGAAATTAGTGGTTGTGACATTGCTGGGGATGGGATCAGCAAACAGCTGTTTGCACCTCTTTTCAGTGTGTGTGTGTGTGTGTGTGTACACACACACACACACATCAGATGAACACAATCAAACTGTTTAACTGTACTGAAATACTGTGCGTATCTCTCTCTCTGTGTGTGTGTGTGTGTGTGTGTGTGTGTGTGTTTGAGTACTTGGGTTTCCAAAGAGAAATTAACATAAGTGTTTGTCATTTCCCAAGCATTCGACCTGAAATATAATCATCATAATTTCCAAGCCAGTGCCTCCAGCTGAAAAAAAAAATGCAGCACTTATTTGCGTGAATGGCCATAACTTTACCCCTTATACCTAGTGATGAATCCATGTCCAATGCTGCATGGCATGTTTTAGGCCAGAGAATGGTGAGATTTTCTATAAACTCGAGTTTGGCACTAATCAGACAGGATTTTTATTAAGACTGGAGTAATGATGCTGAAAAATCAGCTTTGCCATCACAGGAACAAATTACATTTTAAATTATATTAAAATAGAAAACAGTTGTTTTAATAATATTTAGTGTATGAACTGTATGTAGTGGCCATTCTAAACTGTGCATGATCAGACTCCCCAGGTGGATTTAATTTTATTTTTTATATCAGATTAGATGTCAGCAGTACTCGGACCACCAGCCATTGTTTAGCTCAGAAATTTGTGAAAGGTTTAAATGCATAATGAATGTGTACCAGGCAGTGCAACAGGAAATTTATGTTTAGTTACAGTATTCAGCGAAGGTCAGATTAAATGAGGAAAAGCATTGTGAAAAAAATCCATATACCGTAATCACAGACGTTCTTATCCGGACAGAATTACATTTCTCAGAGGACACCAGAGTTAGAAGAAAACCAGCAGATATTTTGCTCCATCATTTTTACTTCAGTTTGGATAGAATTAAAATCACTCTGTTTGAAACAGTTGTAGAGTTTTAAGGCTGGCATACACTATACAACAATTTTTTTGTATTCACACTTTCTGGACATGTGCTAGTTTCTAAAAATCAAAGCCAGAAAAATTGTGTAGTGTATTATGTGATCTCTCATTTTTTTTAGCATCTGACTATGATTCCTTCCAGTTGGATGATTTCAAACATTTGATATTTTGAGCCAATTTTAGAACAGATAGTTTTCATTCGTCATGCATGTCCTAGCAACGAGGAACACATTTCTAAATGTGTTTGTTGTATTTGCAACGACTTGAATGTCTGGTAGTGTGTGACCCTCATTAAGTGCATTAGGTCGTTGACGCCCAGTTTTTGTTCTATAACAATTTACAACATTGGCAAATCTATGATGAGTAGCGTTTTAAACTCTAAACAGATTTTAAAAGTTGTGTAGTGTATTCCAGCCTGTACACTTACAAGTTACTATTCAAACTTACTTCTTGATATTAATTGGTTCGCAGCAGTGTCCATTGCTTATGGCCAATAACAAAGTTAGGAAGCTATTATCTGAGGTTTGATCTTATCGTGAGAATCTAGCTCAGTTTTTTGTGGTTTACCCTTAAAAAGCCACAAGAGCTTTAGCAGAGCTGCAGCCGGTTGCTGTGAAGTGCCTGCTAGATTTAATCAGTGTCTTTATCTGTCACATTACTTTTTCACAGTCTTGCTACACACAGATCTCCTATCAGATAACTAAATAGGGGTTATGGCTTTTCTGCATTTCTGTGTTACCTGCGCAGAGCACGGGATCCTATCGACTAATGTTTCCCTTGTTCTCTCACACAAAAACTGTGAACCATTTTAAGCAGGCTCTTTTTCACAAGAGCGACTCTCTCTCTCTCTCTCTCTCTCTCTCTCTCTCTCTCTCCTTCTGCCTCTCTGCACATGTGTGATTAGTGGACTGTGAACAGACTGGAGCCCCGGCTAGCTGACCTTGGCCCACAGCCAGGCATCACATCCTGGGCAGCCGTGGCTTCAGGCCTCCCATCTGACAGCCCAACCCGCATGCACCACCTCTGCCGCGCACCCCGCTGTCCCACAGTGCCTCGCTCCCGTCCATCATGCCACTATCACCCATCCCCAGCGCCTTAAAACGGGACCAGGGCATTCACCTGGGATGCGAAGGAGCATCTAAGAGATGTTTTCTTGAACAGAGCGCTGGTTTGCATGCTTAAGCAGCAACATGGCAGTTATTTAGACCAGACTAACCATTTGGCGCTGACAGCGAGAGCATGAGCAACAAGCAGCGCATTCTGAGATCACAAGGCAGCATGATTGATGATCTAATGGTCTCACCGTTCTCCTCATCATCCCAGCTTCCCATCCACTGTACTTTTCTGACATTCAGAGAGCAGCCATTGGCCAGACTCAAAAGGCTAGGAAGGACAATATGGATGATAAAGAGTGTTATATTGTATCCAAAAATGAAAATTCTGTCATCATTTACTCACCCTCATGTCATTTCAAACCTATAAGCATGATTGGACTTCCACAAGAACCAGTGAGGAATGTTTTCACATGCCACGCAAATACATAAAAGCCTAAATGAAATCTGTTTATAACATAAGGTGAAGATATGAAAGCCCATTTCTGCCACTGAATAAAAACTAAAAAAGGTAATTGCCTATTTTTTTTTAAATCACACAATTCTGACTTTTTTCCCTCACAATTGCGAGTTTACATCTCGCAATTTTGACTTTTTTTCTTAGAATTGTGTGATATAAACTAGTCATAAGGTCAGAAATTGTGAAACACGCAATTGTGACTTTATTTTTCGCAATTGCGAGTTTTAATCCCACAATTCTGACTTCATAACTCGCAATTGTGAGTTTATATCACACAATTCTGAAAAAGGTAAGATTTGCAAGATGTAAACTCTCAATTACAAAAAAAAAAAGAAGCCAGAATTGTGAAATTAAAAGTTTCAATTACCGTGTTTTATTTTTTATTCAGAGACGGAAACAGGCTTCCGTATGAAGAAGACATGAATTCGATTGAAACCATTCGATTCATATAGATTATTTTTATGATATAATTTTGAACTTTTTGAAGCTTGAAAGCTTTGGGTGAAAGGACTTTCAGTGGATGGACAGACATTTCTCAGGTTTCATTAAAAATATCTACCTTTTTGTTCAGAGCATTAACAAAAGTCTTATGGGTTTGGGAGGACATGAGGTTGAGCAATTGATGACAGAATTTTAGTTTTTTTAGTGAACTATCCCTGTAATTATATTAGTGCAAACATATGCCTGCATCTGTGCGCTACCCTCAGTCGGAAAGCTTGCTAAATCATACCAAATTGCTAGGGAGGACAGTGCAGTTGGGGTGCTTGTTTTTCGCCTGCCACCCCCTCCCACTGTGTCTCTTCAGGGAGAAGCCATTAGGCAGTTCATAGCGTTATTAACACAAACGGCAGGAACACGATAGGGAACCTCTCTGCATCGATTCTTCCCCGTGCAACACTCCATCGCTTTTGAAATTACTCAATCGCCATCCGTTTGGAAAACAGACACAAAAAAAATCATGGATTGTAATAGTCTGCAATATATTTTTTTGGTTGAAAGTGGAGAAGGAAAAGCCCACAGTAATGGACAGCCGGCAGCTGTAGGCCCCTCAGGAGAGAGTTAATATGGTTTGGGGAACACATTTGACTGTAGCGCCAGGCGGATTTTCACCGGCTCCAGGATTAACACAGCCACAGAGTATCTTTTATTGGGGGGACTCTGAGTTTTAAAGGCCCATACTGTGACCGATATTTAGACCTAAGCCCCCCAAAGCTGAAAACGGTAATGAAAGGGCAGACCTCAGCTGTTGAGGCAAGAACCTGACTTATTTATTCTACTTTTTAAGTACAAGCAGGCTTTTGGCATAAAGACATGATCTGTGTCGAGCTCTAGTAAACACGTCACTTCATCAGTTTTATGTCATTTCTGATGTGTCGTACCACCGCTTTGCATGCACACAAATCCTAGCACTTTTTTTTAACAATATACCACATAGAAATGTTATCATGAATGAAGAGTGACAAAAAGTAGGATTGCCACACAAAGCAAAAATGTTGCCTAGCAACGGAATTTACAACCGAGCTAGAAACTTCTAGAAGCATCTCTAAAGATGTTCACTAGTTGTGATCTTAAAAATAAGTTACTCTTTGCTTAGAACACTAAAAAAGAAATGTCTGAATTATTGTTAGATCCTTAGGAATGGCACTGTGCTAACAATCAAGAGCATGGAATCAAACAAACCGTTTTAATGTGACATGGATTTTGTGGATGAATGCAAATGGCTTCTTTTGTTGTTGTTTGTGCCCCATTAACTTTATTACAATTACACAATCACAGCACAAGCGCTGTCTTCTCTTCAGGGCATTGCTTGCCCTTTTAATGAAATTCATCAAAGACTTTGAAGAAAGTGTTTTTTAAATGAGGAGAGTGAAGAAATATTGATCGTTTCGGGGGACAGTTGACCAGTCGTGCTCCCCTCTTTTCCCCCAGTAATTAGAAGAGTGTCATAGCACTCAATTAGCAGGTCCAGCTAATAATGTGTTTAATGCTGTGATCTCTTTCCCCCAGGAGTTTGGAGACCGCACTCATTATGCTGATCAGTTGAGTGACAGTCGATTAGTGTCCCATGAAGGATTGTCCCCAACACCTTTCATGAACTCCAGCATAATGGGTGAGTATCCAAGGTGATTCTGACCCTGTCTCTCTTTCACACCCGTCTTTCTGTCATCAATCCGTTTAGCGATGTGTGGACTGATCAGGCTCTTCTCTCTGAAGGCAGTCACCACAGGAAGTGGCAGAGATGGGTGAGGATGTTGTGTATTTGCACACTGACATATTTATTTATTTTAATGTTATTGTAAAAGATTATAAATAAAAAAACAATTCAATGCAATACCATTCAGAAGTTTGGGGGTCAGAAAGAGTTTTAAATGTTTTTGAAAGAAAGAACGCATTTATTTGATTGAAAAAAATCAGTAAAAAACAGTAAAAGTGGGAAATCTTAAAGTCTATTTATTCCTGTGATAACAAAGCTGAATTTTCAGCATCCTTACTCCAGTCTTCAGTGTCATATAATCCTTCAGAAATCATTCTATGTTATGTTAGAATACCTTATGTTAGAATAGAAATTTCAAAACAACAGCAACTATTTGAAATAGAAATATTTTGTAACATTATAAGTGTCTTCACTGTCACTTTTAAACAATTTAGTGCATCCTTGATGAATAAAAGTTTTTTTCCAAAAGCTTTCTGTCTCTAAACATTTGAATGGTTATATATTAAGTTTTGTAAAAATAGACATTTCAAAATGATTACATTTGATTTATTATAAAAGATAATAATCCCTATTTTTTAAATCAGACATGAACGTCATGATGACTCATTCAGTAAGTGAGTCAGATTCAGTAACTGCGCTGACAGGTTCACCGAATAATTTTTTTATGCATTCATTAATTAGTAATTCGTTCATGAATTGACCACAGACTACACTGATTAATAATATATAATAATGTAGTATTAGAAATGCATTATTTATTTGATATATAATTCATTATATATTGTATTATTATATATGGTATAATGCAATATTATATTAATTTTTCTTTAGCATCTGTCCTGCGGTGTGACTGTCTTCAGAAGTTGACCCTCCCCCATGGTGGAAGTCACACCATCAGTACAGTTTTCCATCACAAAAGACTGTCTGCTAGCTGGCAGAAAAGCCACTGGTTTCTTCCTGTGGCACACTTAATTTTTTTGCAGGGGAGAGTGAGAAGGGAAGGGAAGGAAGGGAGAGAGAGAGAGAGAGAGAGAGAGCGAAAGAGAGAAGGAGGGGTTTCAGGGGGTGGTAGTGAAACAAACAGATGGGCCAAAAATCATTTTACACACACAAACCCCCTCAGCCACGGACTCTCTCAAATCTCTCTCCTCTTTCCGAAGAGGTGTGTGAAACTCTACTTAACTTGCTCCACTTCCTCTTTTGCTTCCAAAAATGTAATTTTCCATCTGTATCAGCTTGTGAGTTTGTGCTTGTTTGGCCCCTGTTTTTTACTGCTTGTTTGCTGATTCCACAGAAGCAAAGCATAATACACATAATTCAGCATCAAGATGACGTGCGGTGCAGATTCTGAAAATTGCACACGGTTATTTCTGTATGTTGATGTTGTGGATAATTTTGTCATTGTGAAGTGAACATTGTATTGCTTCTATTGCTGAATCTCTAACTATTTTCCGCGGTGCTGTCTTTCTTAAAGATAGCCCTTTTTCCCATAAAGTAGCATATCTGTAATCCGTATGTTATAGATATTTAATGCCAGGATTTTATTTATTAATAAGCAGGATGTCATTTGTTTATTAAGGTGTTTGTTCTTACTATTTTTCATGACAGTCGAGGTGACCAAGCCTTTAAATTGCACATTTTATTTGTATTTTGTTCAAAAGGTGATTAAGATAATGATTAAAACAATGGCATTTTCTGAGATATTTATCAGACAAAATAGCTTGATTAGAGTCACACAAGGCTGTTTATCCCTGGAACGTTATTGATGGATGTTGTTAGATCTGAGGTCTCTCTGTCTGCTGCTATTGTGATGTGTTCACACATGACAGCTTTATGGGCTGCTGAACCCCGGCTCTTTGTAGCATCACCCTGGAGACCGGTTGCCATGTAAGGTGGCAAGTTTACGGATGGGTGCCACTGCACGAAGCCCACCGAAACAAAATGTTATCTCTCTACCAATTGATCTGCATTTGTGTGTGTGTGTGTGTGTACATGGTGGAGGTAGGGAGGATGTTTGGTTTTCCTCTGTCCTGTTGATGCAGCACTAATTATGCCTATAAGTAGCAAAATATGGAAATGATCTGGAACAATGATGTGTCAGGGAATTAGACAATCTGATTGCGCAGCTAAATTGTCTGCGCTATCTTGCTGGGATTGGGCGAGGAGACCGAGTCTTATCAAATTGAATTTCAGCAGTAATATCTGGGATTTACATGGAATTACCCATTCCGGAACAACCTCATTAAATCAACTCTGAAAGGTTATTACTCACCAATGAATAAGGCAGAGCTTGAATGTGAATGTAATACAATTAAGCATTACCATCACACGAATGGCATTTCTGAGGGAACCCTGGCCTGTGAGTTATTCGTGGGTTTATGTGACCCATTTTTTTATTCTTGCTTGTGCCGTTTAAAAACAGAGCCGTGGTAATCTAAGTGGATTATCTCGAGACAAATCCCTGTGGTCTGCAGCTTCTTGAAGGAAATAGAAATCTTAGGCTGGCACTTGTTTGTTTACCTTTTCAAACTGTTTGCGGCTGATAAAACCTTCTCGAATCTCGCTTTTTAATTCAGACACATAGATAAATAATACATAAAATGTAGCCTCATTTAAACTAGAATCGTAACACATGTATAACCTTGTTTGTCTACGACGTTAATATAAGAAATGCCTCTGATTTGCTTTCATAAACCATTATCCCATTAAGCGGTTTGATTTTAATGCTTCATTTAGTAGCCTTAAATATGCCTGTGGGGGCTGCATGTGTTGACCCGGTTCCATGTGCTCTCTAAGGGAAGTATGACATGTTGAGAGCAGCTTGGGGTTACCTGGGGTCAGCTATTGTGTATGATAATGAACTTGTTACAGTTTATAGTGCTAGGAAGTTGTCTGGTAATGACTGTTTATTTGACATAACATTTTAATTAGAGTAACTGCTGCTTGTTCTGAATAATGGAGATCCATTTTAAAGGTCACACTCTCTTATGCTTCGTTTGCAATGGATTTGAGCTTATGTAGAGCTATCGGATGATAATAGCAGAATGTGATCCGTGTCCGCCTTTACTGCACGTTACCTTTGAGCTTGGTCTCTGAATGGATAGATATTTCGCTTTGTTGCATCATCTTCCTATATGGTGCATTTAGACCCCATGGGTAGGTGTGAGTGAATGTGGCAGTGTGTGTTTCTGCATGTGTCTGTGTGTTTGCTTGAAGAAAGCCCATGAGAGTGTCGAGGTCAGAGGTCAATCAGTCTGCGTCGCACGTGCCGATGCTCTGTTTCAATCCTCTTACCCAGCATCCTCCTCGCCTTTTTGCCTGCACGTGGCACCCACACTGTGACGGCCAAAACCGTCCTGTGCTCTACACAATCCTCCAATGCAGCAGCCGATGACATCGAGTCATTTGTAATGACAAACCTTGTCCAATATAAATTCAGTTCTGCAAAACATAAACAATTTCTGTTCCATTTTCAGGAGCCTAAACATAATTTGTAGCACAGTTTAACCCTATAATCAATTTGAAATAACATTAATCAGCCAGCCGTAGTGCACAGCCCGTGCTTGCATGTGTGCATGTCTGTTTGTAATGTGAGGCTGGAGTGTGTTGCATAATGATGACTATGTTGAAGTTTTAAGCAATATTTAATAAGGCTTAATGCAGCTTTAGATTAAGAAGAAATCTGCATGCACATAGAGAATCCTGCTTCTTCAGCGCAGTCAGTATTTACTGGTCAAACAGATTACCATCACAAAAGACAAATTAGTTTAGTACTTTGTTGACATTCCAAACTCCATGGGTAACAGTTGGCACAGATAGAGCTGGCCTGGCTTTAGACTTGATGAAACGGTCTACAACAAAACATGAGTTTTAAATTGAATACTCATTGGAAAAAAACCCCACTGCAATCAGTTGGACATGTGTTTTGCTGTAAACTTCCTGAAATCTAAGGTGAAGCTTGTTGCTTTGCAGCTCAAGGGAAGCTTGTGATTTGCGTTAGATGGGAATAATGCACGTACATGATTTCAGGAAGCTGTGTTTCCTGGCAAAACGCTCACCTCTACTGGAGTTTAGTGCTGGTCTGTCGGGTCACGCTAATTTCCAGTGAACCTTTTTCCCAAAAGCATTGTGTTAAATAGTCATCAGCAGGGCCAAATGAAATCTGTGGCTGCAAAACTGCATGGAAAGCTGCAGAATTAGCTGCCATGATTCATACAGTTCTCTTTGCATTCACATTTTGACAAATGCTTTTGTTAATGCTGTCAAAATTTCAGCGAAATAGTTTTATAGCGTAAACCATTGACCAAAACAATGACATTTAATCAGCGCTTCTCAGATGTTGTGTTTTGACAGTGTCAGCATTTATTTTGTTCACAAAATGTGGATAAGTTACAACAGGTAAACATTTCAGCAGTGTGGACGCACTTCATCATGACCTAAAAGCATGCTAAAGTGGTAATATGTAAAATGTGTTCAGCAGAAATAGTGAGTTGCGGCTCAACGAAGTTTACTGCTCTACTACTGGTTTATCACATAAGAACATGGAAAAGATATTAAAGTCCCTTATATTGTGACTTTAAATCTGTTAAGACGAATCTGCTCATTTTCCCTCCAAATCAGCACAGAAAATGTGGAAAAAGTCATCAGTGACCTTTAGCATTCAGTGACTCTGACTTTACCTCATCAGTCAAACACCCCACTGCTACTCTTAGTTTCATCTTTAGCACTTGTCTTCTTTTTCACTGTTTTATTTTTTCATAAAGCCTCCTGGTTTTATTTTCAAGATGACATGTATTGACGTTTTGACTACACATACTCTCTGATGAGATTAAAGAGAAGATGATGTCTGATGATGAAGTCACTGAAGTTACCATCTCATTGTGGAATTCTGGATT